ACTAGACTTGTTGATCTAATTCTTACAATCTCCAAGATCCGTTGGAATTTGCTTCACTCACACATGCTCCCAATCTTTTGAAATTATCTATCTCATGTGGATCACCAAGAACACCTTGTTTTTGTGCTCTTCATGTGCTTCTGGTCCAAACTCCCCCAAACTTCAGCAATCTCTGAAAATTATTGAGAAAGTACTTACCTGATTATATCTAGAAAGTTGGTGTTTTGAATGATTTGAATTTGATGTTTTTCCCAATTAGTGGTTAATTGATCTCAAGAATCAAATGCTTAATCTCAATATTTAGATGAGTTCTTAGATTTTGGAATGATGTTATGAAGATGTACAATAATGATCAACTACACACAAAAAATGCACTGGGCATTGGGTATTTATAATAAGAAATATTTAGATAGTATATGATAGATACAACCTTGAAAATTGCAAACTAGGGTTTCACATATAACACTATCGCTCGAACTCCAGGCTAGCGAGATGTGTGTCGCTCGAACGAAAGACTAGCGACAGGCAGGGGACATGATTCTACTTTTTTCGCTCGAGTATCAGCTAGGCGACACACTAGTGTAAATCCGACGACTCTTTCTCCTTATTCCATACTCGAACTCAAAAATTCATAGTTCATCTATACAGCCCTCCAAATGACTCATTGAATTTTACAACTCTTTTGTAAGAATTCTATTATTTTATAATAATTATTTTGTCTAAAGAATTGCCAATACAACATAAATACTAATAATATCTCCCTTTGACATTTTTTGACAAAACTATACAATACAAGTCAAAGATGTAAAAACAGACTAATCTACCCCAACTCAAACTGAATGTCTGCCTTTTGCATCCCTTGAAACATATTTACTAAAATCAATAACTCAAATACTAAATGTAAAAGCAAATTATACAAAAAATATAATAATTGAAACATACTATCATAAATAAACTAGCTAGATTGAAAAGTAATATTAATGTTAATCAAAACACCAACTGAAACATTAATATCACAAAACATCAAAACCCCAAAAAGCTAAGCATTAAAAAAAAATTAAAAAAATCCCAATACTATCATCTCCCCATTACTACAAACTCTCCAAATTAAAATTAAAATGCAACATGCCATCATCTCTCTTCTTTTTTGTCACAAATGACAAAGTGGACTATAACAACAATATATAATAACTCAAAGATGCAGTTGATAACACAAGCATAATCAATGATCAGTAAACTTTCCCATATACTCAATTCAAGTCTAAATGAAGTAAATTGTATAAGTGACTCATGTTTGTTAAGTGCTACTAATTTCTTGTGATCAAAACTCCAAATTTTAAATTTGTGAGAAATGACATGCTAAACATCACTGTTAAATAAGTTTATTCCTCTACTAATAAAAGTCAAGCCAATAATGCATATCAGAACTTATAAATGAAGCTCATTTTTCATGTATATTATTCTTTTCTCCCCGTGACTTTGAGCATATATACATTTTCACACAGTTTATAATTTTTTTTAAGCTCATCATTTTTCTCTTCAATTTTTCAAATATTATGTGCAGATTCTTCTCCATTAAGGGACTAAGATGATTCGTGTAACAAATTTTGAACCGATAACTCCAAGTCAATTGACCATAAGGTATTGTGTTCCCCTCGAGCTTAATTACTCGATTCAAATAAGTTTCGAACAATAGTATAAGATGAAACATTTTTTTTATTTAAGGGGATATACTAGAGCTTAGGTATACTAAATTAAGGTCAATTCATATTCAAAGTCATTCTACCAACAGATGATGACAATCACAAATCTCACACATGCGTTCAAGACTTATTCACAAGATCATAGTTTATACAGTGTAGATAGTACATGATGAAACCTATACCAAGTACTCCACATAAACCTAAACAAAGTAATTGAAAATATGCTATAGCACATCAATTAAATTCATAGTTGGTCACAACACACATGTTCACGCAAATCATATATCGTGTTGTAGTGAAAAAAAAATCCCCCATTTTTTATTTTTCAAATTTTCAAAAAATTTAATTTTTTAAAAAAAAAAAATCAAATTGCCTAACAAGCAATAACAGAAAAAAAAAAAGATACATACAATAATGAATGACTCACAATTAATAAGTACAAACGTAAAAAACACCTAATCAGTTAGGTTTACAAACACTCTTACTTGTAAGAACACCGTGATCAATTTCTAAATTTTTCAGATCGCTCTTTTAACCCAAACATGTCTAGTGTAATACTTATTTCTAGTCAATTGTGTCATTAGCTTGGTCAACTGACTCACTTGATTAGTGAGGAAGTCAATCGAGCCATCAAAATCTTGATTTCTATTTCTATTGAAATTTTGATTTCTATTTCTATTCAATAATTTATGACACATAGACCTTATATGTCCTAACTCACCATAATTGAAGGATATAGGAATAAATTATGAACAATCCTAGATTTCAGATTTTGAACCTCAGGTGGAGGAAACTTATGTTGTACCGATGATTTCGGTCTTCGAACACCTACATTCTTGGTCGTGTTCGTATTCAATAGCTTGCGACACTTAGGTCTTATGTGTCCTATCGTACTACAACGGTGACACGTGGGGATAAACCTAGGAGTAGCTCTAGGTTTCAAATTTTAAACCTTAAGCTTTGATGCAGGTACAAACTTATTGTTAGAAGATAAAGTAATATGAGAATTTGTTTCATTATCGTCAAAATATCTTCTATTCTCAGCTGGTTTGTTAAGGCCTATCATATTATCAATTTTCTTATATCCGCTAGAAAAATTTTGATGTTGGACATTTGATTTTTCAAGATCACCCGTAAGAGATTTAACCTTAACATCTATCCTTAATTCATTCAAACATCTAGTTGGCTCCTCAAGTTTGGCTATAACACTCACTTTTTCTAATTCAAGTACATTAACTTTTTTAAGAATGATTTTATTCACCTTCTTAATCTTAAGACTCTTCTCAAATAATTGTTCATAAGCTTCCCGAATTTCCATATCACACTTAGATTCTGAATTAGAAACCGATTGACTCATCTAGACAAAATTTTGGGTTAAAGATTGCTATTAAGCTCTGATACCACTTGAAAGTCACTAGTTTGACCCTAAAATCACCTAATAGGTGAATAACGCAGAATTAAAATTATCAATTAAAAGCAACAATTCACTTTTTAATTGTTATAAATGTTTAGTCAATTAAGTCAATTTTATCCTATATTGAATTGTCACAATAATAAATAGAGTAGTAAATAACAAAAGATTTGTTGACGAAGAAAACCGTCAACTGGGTAAAAACTCTGGGACTAAACCAGTAACTTCCACTATAGATAATAAAAACTTACAGTATGATCCAACCTAGAAAACCCACTAAACTTCTCGATCTAATTCATGCAATCTCCAAGACCCACTAGAACATGCTTCACTCAAGCCTGTTCCCGATCTTCTGAAATTGTCTATCTCCTATAGATCACTAAGAACACATTGTTCATGTACTCTTCATGTGTTTTTGGTCCAGCCTCTCTCAAACTTCAGTAATCTCTGAAAGCTATTGAGAAAGTACTTACCTGATTATATTTAGAAAGTGGATGCTTTGGATTATTTGAATTTGATGTTTTTTCCAACTAGTGGTTGATTGATCTCAAGAATCAAAGGCTTA